GTTAGAAACTCTTCTTTTGTATCCTCTACAGCTCAGGGTTAGCCAGACAGCCCTATTCTGGCCAATGGGATATTAACAGATATCTATTGTTGGAACTGCCACGAAATCACCTGGCTCCCCAATAAAAGAGAAATAAACTCAACTAGGACACTCCGGCTCTTTCAGTTTTTCTTCTTTTTCTAAGAGAGAATAAGGACACATCATCTGGCAGTGTACTGGCCAGCTTTACAGCCTTGAGGATGGAGTTGTGCTACAGGTGATTGTCTGAGCGCTCCTATGACTTCGAGAAATAAGGCCAAGCCTGGACAACATGTACGTATTTCCAACCTAGCTCCTTTTTTCATTAAACCATTGGCATTGGGTTGCCATGACATGAGGACCTGTGTGATCTTGAGACTACTGTGACCAAGGAAAACTGTACAGCATGACTACTTATTTACTATGTGGGTGGATCGATGGATCTCAAAGGAAAGCCAGCAGAGATCCTACCTTAAGAGCAGCATTTGGTTTCATACCACAGCGGTAAGTCCTTGCTATATGTGAAGTGAGCTGGATTTCCTTCGTAAGCTGCCTCCATTTCCTACACTCAGGTTTTGTACACTGAACCTAGATGGGAAGAAGTGTGACAAGGTGAGTACAGGGCTAACCTTGAGTGACCGTGTCTCTCTTCCATTACTCCCTTAACCAGCTTTTCCACATAATGTCACTCACCTTTTCTTAACACTCCTGGATGGTTCTGCTTCCCATGTGCACCATCCACACCCACAATAATCCACTTTTCCCCACTGGGATAAGTTCTAACTGGACATGACGTCAGGCACCATAAGCGAGCGCACAAGGGACCTGAGTGCTTTTGTCACAAAAGTTTACTGATAGGAATCTATGGGAAGCTAAAAAAAAATAGTGGGGACAAAATGGGTGACATCGGCATAAAAGATTGGTGTTGATCAAGTAGCATGTATCAATGTTAACTCCTTAGTTTGATAAATCATACCAGTTAGGAGCCCTGGGAGGGTAGTGGTTTCAGGTTGGGCTGCGACCCGCATGGTCAGCAGTTTGAAACCACCAGCAGCTCCTCTGGAGAAAGATGGGGCTTTCCATCTCCGTAAGAGTTACCGTCTCAGAAACCCACAGGGGTCCAGGGGCCCCTACGAGGCCCCTGACTTCACGGCAGCAAGCTTGGTTTGGTTTTGATGCACATGATGAGACATTAGGAAAAGGTGGGTGAAGGATATCGAGGAACTTTCCAGATTATCTTTATAAATTTTCTGTAAACTTAAAATTACTCTAAATTTTAAAGTTTCTTTTTTTTTTTTTAATAATAGTCACATACAAAAGAAAAGGAGTTGGCCCCCTACCTCACATGATATATCAAAGACAGTTCCGGCAAGGCGAGGGGTTAGGCAGACACAGTACACAGACCTTCAATAAAGACATGAGGGACCAGCTAAAGAGACGCAGAATAATCCTGGAACTGTGAGCTTCAGAAACCTCAGAATAAAGGTTAGAGAAGTGCACTGAGTACCAACTAAGAGAGTAAGCTGAAAAAAGTGGTGGGAGAAGAGTGAACTAGTGAACTGTGGAAAGGCCCGACCCAGCACCTCCACGGTGGAACTCTGGCAAGCAGCAAATGATCCAGACAGCAGTCTAACAACACAAACCTGCATCCACGTCTGGCTACCACCTCCCTTAGTCCCCATATCCTCCTGGTGACTAGAAGCATGGCCAGTTCCTACCCTCACGTCTCATCTACCCAGTGGCAAAAGATACACCACCACCCTACACAACGCCTGCTCTGCGAGGCTGGGGCCTCTCCCTATGAATCACCTCCCTGTGCATCATCCTGCGTGAGCTTGCCTCATCCGGTCAACAGGACACACAGTGCCACAGCCCTGACCAGCCCTGAGTGGGCACGAACTCCTTCTACAACCAGCCACCCTGCCCCCCAGCTACTCTGGGCCCAAAAGAGCTTCTCTGGGTACAAGTATACTGATGTCAGTCACTCTCAGTCAACTCCGGTGCTGTGACCCCAGCCAACACCCTGGCCACCGAGGACCAGGTATCTCACCCCCTCAGACCTCCCAGACCCTGCAGTTCTCTTCCCTGGGACCTGCTTTGCCTAGGTTTCTTATTGCTTTGCTGCCGTCTCCCCCCACCACCCCTTTTACTTTCTATTCCTTTGTTTCTCTTTTCCTCTAACCTTTTGTCCTTTCCTCTTATTTACTTTTCTGTCTTTACTATTTATTTTTTCTCCCCTACCTGACTTAAGTTTTTCTTATAATTTTTGCCTTCCTTGTACATTGTTCTTTTCTTTTCTCTTTTTTTTCTGATTGGTTATTAAATGGTTTTTAAAGTGACGATGGCAACATTATGTACAGCTTTGCTTGATATAATTGATTTATGGATGGTTACAGTATCTGTAAGAGCCCCCAATAAAATGATTTTTTAAAAGGGGGGCACAGAATGAAGTCTAGAGTGCTGAGAGGCACATACCTGGAAAAAGGAGGGACACTACAGAGGACCAGCCAATGGCAGAGGACCCACCAAAAGCCAGCCAACGGTAGGTGGTCTTCCATTAGGGACTACAAAGGGCTACTCTACGTTCTACAGGGGCCTTCAAGACTGGCTAAGGGCCCTTTGGACTTTCTTCCAAAAGTATCCCCATCAATAAACTCACTCTTTCTATTCGAATATTAAAAAGGAAAAGTTGCCAATCAAGAATCATACACTCAGCAAAAGTCTCCCCCAACTATAATGGCAAAATCAGGACATTTCCAGATAACTAAAATATTAACAAAATTTGTAAAAACCTGACTAACTTTACAAGAAATACTAAAGGGAATGCTTTGGAGAGTACCAGAAATGGCAAGCAACTACTTGAGATTTACGTGACAATACCACTCAGAAATCAACCCAGGTACAGAAGAAGTATTACAAGGATTACACACCTAAAGACAAAAAAAGAAGAGACCAGAGATATCATTTGTAATAGAACCAATCACAGAGCAGTAAGAGGGAATCGTGTAGTTAGTTATAAATGGAGAGAAAGTCAATCCTGGCTGCTGGGGAAGGCAGTACAGAAGAGCGAAGTTTGCAAAATATGATGGAGGCAGGGGAAGACACTGGGAGGAGAACCAAAGTTAAAGGCAGCAGAGGCAAATACTGCTATATACGCAATCCTGCGATAATAAGGACGTACAAATAGATGCAGAGACAGACACTTAGCTGAATTGAAGGGAGCATATAAGAATACACACAAAATCTACGGGTCTGACAAGACAGTCGTACATTGGTATTTACCTTTGCTGCAAATATATCCGTGAATGGTAGCAACATTTAAACAAGACCCAGCACCTTGAAGGATGAGCCTCCAGGCTCAGAATCATCATCTTGGGAGACACCACGGTCAAGCAGCGTAACACAGTCCCCAAGACAATGTTCTGCATTCTACTTTGGTGAACAGCAACTAAGGCTTTTAAAATCTAGTGAAAATCTACTGGTCTCTCCCTGTACAGAGACTCAGGAAAGCAGCTAGTCTAATGGGCTAAAAGACCACGCAAGCTCGCGTCTCCACATCCCTGAGGCCCTAAGAAATTGGTGCTGTCCCACAACCAATTGCTCTGAAAAGGACTACGTCAGAAGATATTGGAGTGGGAGAAAATTGTGGAATCTAACTTAAAATTATAAAACAGATCAAGCTTAATGGTCAAAGAGAGACTGGTGGGATTCCCAAGATAAGGTATACATCCCTTAGACCAGTGGTTCTCAACCTTCCTAATGCTGTGTGTGTCCCTTTCAGTTCCTCATGTTGTGGTGACCCCCCAACCATAAAATTACTTTTGTTGCTACTTCATAACTGTAATTTTGCTACTGTTATGAATCGTAATGTAAATATCTGATACGCAAGATATATTTTCATTGTTAGAAAGCGAACATAATAAAAGCATATTGATTCATCACAAAACAGTATGTAATTATACATTGTGAAATATTTGTAATTACAAATAAATGAAATTTTGTCTTGAAGCATGGTGTAGCATGGGTAACAGTCTTAATGTAACAAAAGTAAACTACACTGCTGCATTTTGCGACAGTGTGCATAAAAAGCCAACGTCAGTGTGAAGGGTGAGATAGCTTTTCTCACCAGAGCATGTCTGCGTGTGGGCACACCCGCCTGGAGACCGATAGAGGAGCGGGGTCTCATTCTAAGGCCATCGGAAATAAGTCTTTTCCGATGGTCTTAGGTAACCCCTGTGAAAGGGTCATTCACCCCCAAAGGGGTGGTGACCCACAGGTTGAGAACCACTGCCTTAGACTAATCAAGCAATCATTTGTGATCGAAAGGGGAGAATTTATCCATAGACAAAGTTCACAAGGGTCAGACGAGAAGGGCATTGGGACAGGACATACCGGGGAGAGGGACGAGTGATGTTACATTACGGAGATTGCCATGACTGACCTGAAACAAAACCTGTATGAGCTACTGAATGGAAACACAACGCTTGAGTAAGCTTTCACCAATTCACCATGGTTGGTTAAAGCAGGGACTGGCGCTTTACTAGAATCCGGAACAAAGAATTCTTAAAACTCATTCATTTTTACCGTTACAAAAAAATAAAAAGTAAAACCTAAAAGACTTTAACTTACACAACTTCCACAGAAGATATACACAAGGCCACCGAGCACGTGAAAAGATGATCAACGGCATTACTCATTACGGAAATGCAAATCAAAACCACAGTAGGAAACCACTTCACACCCACCACCAGAGGAGTTAGAATAAAAAACCCAGTAAATAACTAATGTCGGTGAGACTGTGGAGAAATTGAAACCCTGATCATGGGAATGCAAAACTGCTAAACTGTTATAGGAAACTGTCTGGTAATTGTTACAGGTTGAACTGTGTCCCCCTAAAATGTATACAGCAAAGCCCAACCTCTATGCCTGAAATTATAATCCCATTTGGGAAAGGGTTGTCTTTGTTAACGATTGAGGGTTAGGAGGGTGTGCCTTGAATCCATCACACTGGGATTACAAAAGAGATTGAACAAGCTCAAACTCCAAGAACCAAAACCCCTCCATGGAGTTGATCTGATTCACAGAGACCGTACAGGACACAGAAGAACTGGCCCTGTGGGCTTCCAAAGCTGGGACTCTTAACGGGAGTAGAAAGTCTCATCTTTCCCCTGAGGAGCTGCTGGTGGTTTGGAGCCGTGGTTTAGTAATAACCACTGTGCCATCAGGGGTAAGGAACCGGAGCGGCAGCGAAAGAGACAAGGACCCTCCTCTGGAACTGAGGAGGGAATGCCTTCCCCTAGAATCTTACCTCAACAGTCTTCTAGCCTCCTAAACTGGGAGAAAATGACTGGTAAAGTCACCCACTTGTGGTATTTCCATTATAGACAGATAACTGAAGACAGCAGTTCTTCAAAAGCTAGCTATACAATGGCAATGTGACCCCTCATTCCACTACTCAGTATATAATAAGATAACCAGACACAAGTATTCGAACAAATACTTGTACATAAATATTCAGACCAGCAATGATTACACTGACCAAAAGGTTAAAACAACCCAAATTTCCACCCATGTATGAATGCATAAAAATGTTTTACATATATATGTATATAAATTATCAATTAAGAAAACAATTACTAAAATATGACATCCACAGTGAAAATCCTGTGGATCACAACAGTGCAGTCAATCACAGGAATACACCAGACAGGGTTTTGTTTCATTGTGCCAGGCAGGGTCACTATAAGTTGGGAGCCAATGTCATGTCAGCAAACAGCAATACTTCAAAGTAAAAAAAAAAATCTGTAAAGAGTCTATTGTATAAAAATGCATATGAACTCAACAGAAGTGTTTGAACCAACTGTTACAAGACAATGGATGCACAGATATTAAATTAAATTAAAATCATTCTATTCCCCCAAAAAATAAAATAAAATATGACATCCAAAGTAGAATTTCAAATCTAATTAGGATTTATATTTAAAGCATAAAATTGTGCTTACACTTACACAATAAAACCATGAACAAGGCATGTATCAGGTTGAACTGTTGATTATCACTAATGGAGATAAGTCTTTAGCTTCTTCATGACACCATGTTAAATTAGTTAAGTTTTCTATTAATTAAAAAAAACACACCACGATATGCGTGGACAATCATAAAAGGCCACAATATGTCATGAGAGTTTTGAAAAGTTCTGGACTTCCATTTGGACACCACAAAAGCTGTACAGAGCAAGAAAAGCATCTCTCTCCTTACCCAGTAGGGGAGTTGCTGGTCTGCCATGAATGCTTTGGGACTAGGTTCAGTTTTGCCATTGCTAGTCCATATTTTTTTCCATGTAGTGTATTTGTCATATCCATCTTTATGGCTGAAACAATACGAATATATCAAATTACACATTCATCACGTGTAGAAGGCTGATTCATAAATCTTACGTGAAGGAACTAACTAGTCGCATTATAAAACCAGGATGAATGCCGACTCATGGGGACCCCGTGTGTGTCAGAGAACTGTACACCTCGGCGTTGACAATGGGCTCAACTTTTGGCATCAGATCACCAAGCCTTTCTTCTAAAGACACCTCTGGATGGATCTGAACCACCAACCTCTGCATTAGCAGCTTGAGACCACTAACTGCTTGCAGTGCCCAGGACCTCTAGCCATCCTGAAAGGAGGAAAAGATGTTTTCGCAATACCCACACACCAGACTGACAGGAAGGGTACACTCCTTATCAATGTTAGTTATCTCAAGGCAGTTAAGAAGGGTTACGGCTGGCCTTCGGTCCAGTGCAAATCCCAGCCATCAGTGCCCTCCCCAAATCTTTGTATTGAGCTTCCTATGTATTATCATGGAGTAGGTACAACTCCTGGAATTTTTATAACTTGCAGATTAAGAGTATCTGTCCCATGACCGATGCTTTTGAGCCAGGGGTGTATGCATGCCTGAGCACACACGCGAGCAAACGGTGGCATCACGGGTTACTCAGCGTTCCAGTCGCTGCAGGCATCAGTTCAGTAAGCCCAGCAGCCCCGCCTCCCTCCACCACAGCAACCTGTCAGGGAACAAACCTTCTGTAGTAATGGTCAAAGCATTCGTTACAGAAATGCTCCCCACAGGAGAGATGATACCATCGAGATGTGTAGCCGTTCTTGGCACATCTGAAAACAAGAGTATGTTGTTTTGGTAATGAATTAAAAAAAAAACACTTATCAGTCATTTCCTATTAGAATCTTAACAACCCCTTGCCGGCAAGCAGGAATACAGAATAAATGACTGACGCTTCCTGCTATCTGGGGACACACAGGAACCCAGACCAATGGTTCCCAAACCTAACCTAATGGCACATCAGAGAGCCTGGGGCTTAGGGAGCCCGCCAGGAGCAATGGCAGATCTTTCTACCAGAGAACACCGGCTCTCCCTGCCAAGCTGCACACCTGTAAAGGAGGCAGTGGCCAACACCAGTCAAACCTGCCCTCAACGGTGCGACGTGAACAGCGAAAGCTGGAATCTAGCCCACCCCTGAACTAAACAGCCAGTAAATCTGCCCAGCTGAACTCTGACCAACACAAGGGCAACAGAGAAGACAGAGAGTGTCAAACAGCAGTGAAAATAGTAATAAGGCTAGTGGGAGCATTTCTGAAGCTGCCACTTTGCATTCAAAACATCCTGAGGGTTTGTGGTTGCCAAGTGTATTGAATCTTTATCCTTCACGGAAGATTTCTCCCCACCCCACTCACCCCGTGGAAGTACATAGGTCATACTGGTGTGATTCCAATAAAAAATGGCAAGACTACAATTGCCTACGTACTGCCAATGAGGCCTGCATTGGGATTTCGAGGGAGAAAACACAGCTGGAGAAAACCGGGCACGGGTCGGTCTACTGCGTGCTCCTGGATTAGCATCCCAAGCCCTGCTCTACCTGCTCCCCCGGGAGCTGTACAGCCCCAGTTGGTCAGACTGAGGTCCTTGTGTTGGCCACCAAACATACCTGATTTGGGTGTGATCTCTCCCACTGAGCTAAGAACGAGAGAGGGTGTGTTCAGGCAACCTGACTTGCAGTATTTTTTCTACCTATCTGTAGGAGGACTGTCTTTGAGGGTGATGTTTCCATCAAGAACACTCCAGGCAAGCACCGACAGCAAAGACACGCCACCAGGACGAACCTTTCAGAAGCACTCGCAAAGCACACAGGACACACAGCCGTACAGCCAGCCTTTTCACACTTCCTGTACTTCTTCTCTAAGCCACCCTCTTCATCATCGTCGGTTGCCTCCATAGCTTTCTTCTTTGCCTGGGGAAGAAGCAGAGGTTAAGGCCCCAGGACGGCCAGGGTGAGGAAGGTGTGCGGCTGAGAGCACCTAAACAGAGGAAGGAGTTCTTAACATGAACTTCAACAACATCCTCACGGAGGGCTTCGGGTTTACCCAGAGCAATTCCTTGGAGGCTGCCCTGAGCCAACCTTTCCCTAATTTGCTGAAAAAGGGGGGGGGAAAAAAGAGCTAGGTCTCTAATTAGAGAATTAAAACTCATATAGCACTTCTTAGGAAAGTGCTACAAGCATCAAAACAGAAGCCCTCTCAAAATTCTTTATGTCAGGCAGGGTCAGTTATAGCCTGTCTGTATTACAAACAAACGGGGGGAGAAGAGGACCTAACAATTTCTACAAACTGTACAATCCAAAAAATTTTTAATGGCAGCAGGTAGTCTTCCAATAGCTAAATTATAGGCTAAAGGGTAATTGTCACTTAAAACTATAAATTGTAAATTAAACTGTTGTAC